ACATCAGTTAAAATGAAAGCCGTGTGGTTACGTTTGTGAACATCTGATCAATCAATATATATTTGGCGCCAAACATACGTCGTTTTCCCGCCAATAACATGGACCAAGTAGAGTAGAGGTAATGCAATAACGGCAACCGGTCCCATTAAGATATGGGAATGCTAGTTTGATTGTTACCGTTTGATTGCGTATAATGGCGAAGGTATGCATATGATCCATACAGGTACTGCACGGGGCAGTGTGTACAGTAGTTCAGTGTAATTAGGGAGTAATTATTTTGTAAATAAAGAATCGATAAGATCATTGACTTTGCATACTAAAAGAGACATCATATCTATATGAACCAGCTAAATGGAGTTTTGAGAATAAAGTTGATTGATTTTGTGATCTAAAAAACTATTGAATTATATGTTCTCTCAACGCTTTTCACACTATGATAGGTTGATGAGTACCTAATTCTAATAAAACACAAGATTACATTTACACCTTAAACCCTCAAGACATTTAAGTTTTCCTTCCAGTTTCCTATATTTAAAACGTCGTTTTATAAGAAAGGAAACACATTTTGCAGCAACTTAATCTGCTCTTGGCTCAATTTAATTCAGGCATATTTTATTTTTAAAGTGCTACAACTAGCACAACTTTTGAAATATGGCCTAAGAATATTAAAAACGTGTGCACATTAAGAGTACAGTTTTACAGTACTCTTAATTCGGAATCGAATGAAATTTATTTAAAGCGATTTAAGTACATGTTCTTCTATCAATTTATAATTTAGTGCATTGTGTAAAATTAGTATTATATTTGGCGCGGCTGGTATGGTGACATAGGTGTTTTGTGTGTGGATGTATAGAGTCAAAACTTGCCAATCAATAGATTCAATGTGTGTCTCGGTAGTTCGGAGCCTACAAGCTGTCCAAGAATACATCCAAAGGAATAGGCCTAGTCCAAAAAGAATACACATTTACTGTATTATAGACTACCAAACAACATAGACTGTTTTGGACATTACCAAAACTGCATGATGGTTAACTGTATGTTAGTACTGGAAAAGCAGTCAAATGCAAATATTGTACACAGACAGATTATGTACTGGTATATCTAATCTAATCTTAGTATATTATATAAGTAACTTCTTGAAATCATTTAAAAGATTAAAATTCATACAATAACGTTTAACTGCTAAAAATACCAGGAAGTCAAAAGTTGGTTTATCCGTCTCAAAGTTCTGTCCGGATCCAAAATTCTTTTAAGCCAAATACATATCATATCCATGATACAGCAAATTGACAAATTTATTAGACCACTGTTTAGCATGGCGGTCTGTCAGTTCCCCGGCTAAGTGTCATCGCCAGACTCTTGTTGTGGGGGAGCCAATTGTGGTGGGGCTCATCAAAGCCCCCCCCCCCATGACTCGAAACTGTGCCCCCTAGGCGCGGCGAACAGCTACACAGCTACTGTAGCTTGTCAAAAACAGCGCGCGCCGCGCCCCGACAAAGCGTTCAAAAATGCTTTGTGCCGCTCGCGCTGTACCTGACGCGGAATCAATTAATGTTTGTTTGCGTTTTTTCGTTGTTTGCTTGTATGTTTGTTTGTCTGGTGGCCGCGGGCGGAATTAAATGTAACAGTTTGATGTCGTTTCGCCCTCGGCCCGGCGCCATCACAATCACGCGTTTGCTTTGTGATTGTGCTGCAACATGTTAAGGCACGCCGCTGTACCATGGCTATATATACCTCTCTCTATCCCTACCTGGTTACAGTTAGATCAAACGACACAACTATTCGTGCAAAACGCGAACAGCCACACTACAGTCGGAGTTTATACTCAATAATGTGGAACAGAAACTCTTGAATTACTTACGTGTAAAGGGTCAAATCGATTAAACATTTTATATACGTGCATCTTTTTGTTGATAAGTTAATTTTAATTTTACACAGTGAACATTTACTGCGCGTCAATCAACCATATTTATGAGTAGTCAATATTTAATCTAGGTGGGATTCCACATGCAAAGTAGACGGTCTAATCACACGAGATGGCCGCGTCGTTTGACCAACGTTTCAGATACGAATATGATGCTTCAACATTCCATGTTCAAGACAAACAACAATTTAACTATTTAATTGTAGTTTGCCCCGATACTTTTAAGATTAAGTTTCGATAATCAATAATGAATGTATTCACATAAAAGATACATTGTTTTCATACTCCATGGCAGCTTAAAGACCCGTGAGATTACAAGTGTGACAGTCCACCCTCTAGAAGTCTCTATTCCTTTAGGGACCATCCTAGGGGGATAAAGGACTTTTTATACGGATGTTGAACAACATCGTTAAAAAAAATTAAAAGACACTTAAACTTTAACCAAACCGTTATTTCCAGATCAATGTGGAATTTGAAAAGAATCAGTCAACTGAAAAAAGAAATAGAAGTACTTCTTGACCAAAATTTGAACTCTATACAGCATACACAAGTTTGTTTGTGAACTTCTATTGTTCTATTAACTTTGTACTTATATCAATGCTAATAACTATAGTGTGTATATGACAATTTATTATTTGGAAGAAGTCCAAGGTAATACAATATACGCTGAGTCAAATAACTACATTGACAGTCCTTTGATCGAGAATATTGTGGATTAACTCTTCTTTTGCAGGATGTACTATACTAAATTAATTACCCACGTATTCCCTTTATGTGAGTGACAAACAAATTAATTTAGTGATATGGCGAAAAATTTTTCGATCGATTTTCAGCTATTGTTTTATTAATTATATTGATTGTTTAATAGGATTCTAAGTTTATATGTTTACTTCAACGGATACTTCGAATTATGCTCGATATTGACGATCTTTTACAAAAGAATTTAAAAAGAATATTTATTTAGCAACAGTTAAAATTACAATATGACCCACATGAGAGTTGTTCTACAACCAACAATACAGTTTTCATCAAGGATGGTGTTGTCATGACCAGGTTCGGACCGCAAGGTATGCTCGTAAAAGTTATATGTTCCTCAAACGTCTCCTTTAACAACATTCTCTTAATTGAAGAACTATATCTACTGAACTAATTAAAATAAACGGTATCAGCCTTCTGACACATACTTTCTCCCATAACACATACATTACTTCGAAAACCACTTTTTTGGGTCCAGGGGGACCCAAAACGGATATCCACTCAAAACTCATCGAACATTTTGACGAAAACAATACTTCTCCATATAATATGGTATAGGGGGAGAAAGTAAAAATTGAACTTGGAGTGTCGATCTCAGAGCTATGTAAATTATGTTTGCATGCTTTCTTAACTTCTTCCTCCCACAATCCATCCCCCCAGACTAACGGACAAGTTTAGATATTTACGTTTTCTCCCCACTCGAGCCTCTAGAGCTCAGCAGGACGTGGTTTGCCTGGGAACCTACACAGACGCGGGATTGTACTGTAGAATGGGGTATCTGACAACAATGTACACCACACTACCCCTACAGTCCTACAGGACCTCGTATGTAGTATAGACACAGGCCTACACTGAGCTCCACATATTGTACAGGTACTATGGTGAATGTATACAATTGTGACCGATTTAGTTGTTGTTGCGATGGTACGAAGTAAAAGGTATGCGTCTGTGGTTGGGAATTGAACATAATCCTAGATCAGATACTGTATGCTATCTTGGATTACAATTTCATTGATTCACCTTGATGAACATCAACCTAATGAATATTACTGAATACGATTTTGTTTAAAAAAATAACATTAATCACAATTCATTATTTTATACTATTTTGGTGATTTATTGAGATATTCGAAGACGGATTATGTCTTTTTGTTGGACAAACCTCTTGAGTTTTAGCGATACACACATTACTTACTTCATACGAGAACACCAAAATCATAAAAGTAAATTGACACATTTTGGTTGTCAAAACTTTAAATAATTCTAACGCCTTGTAGTGAACTTTATTGATTGCTGAATTTCAATGCCAATCTCTAAGGAAATTGGTGAACCTTAAGGAAAACCTTGTAAACACACGAGAACAATATTCTGTTATGGTGAGAAATAACAACACCAAGGACTGTTGTAGGATGATTAACAGTTTCAACACACTCTTGTCTAATTGAATAAGGATATACATAAACCTCTACGATATTTGAAAAATAGAATAAATACATTTCATAACATTTCCATCTTCAGCATCCTACAGCTTGTTTTCATTCTCTGTATTTTAAAAGTAATTTCCCGGTTGGAGGTTTGTCTAAGCCTCTAGCCGTGAAGACTTGCAAGTGTCTGGAATACAAAACGCAAGATCCAAAGTTCCGGACATTTCCTTATCAGGAGCCCGCCGTTACGCTCCAAGTTTTGTAATCCAAGGGAGGTTGCAAGGGGGGAGAGGGACAGAGCTAAGTTGTATAAGAGTAATCCTTTCGCCGTGTTTGGAAGCCAACCCCCTTCCAAACGCCCCGCTTCCTTTTTGAAAGCCGCTACTTTTGTTTGAGCGATATTACCTCTTTTATTGAATAAACGAGGTAAAGCAGCTTTATGAATTTGTTTGCAATGTTTCCTTTTTTAACCCCCGAGGCGAACAGAGCCACTCTTACACTTTTTAATATTTTCAATATTAAACTGAACTTTTCAAAGATTCCGTTTATTACTTGTTTAATGGAAATTGTTTGTTCTTTTTGTAGAAACTTTTTCCATACAGACTTGACAATGCCGTTGAAAAACTCGTTTGATTTTGTAAGAAATTTAATAAACTTTAAAGTTTTATTATTTACATGTGAATGTATTTTGGTTTGAAATAATATAAAAATGGTTTACATTGAAACTAAACATAAATAATGTATATGTTATTTTTAAATCGTCGAGTATGGTACAAAAGGCTTTCTGGCATTCAAAAACGATTGCTTAGGACCTTTTTTAATATCTTATTGGGCTGTTATTTACTTAAATATTATCATACAGTATGAATAACAATGTACTGAATTTCCAAATTTACCTTTTTTGATGGGTAGGTCTGGCAGTTCAGTCATGATTGACGGACTTACACTGGGCGGTTGAAGTGGCGGGAACGGACTACCACCTGCGGTGGGGTACCTGCAAGAAAGCGAATAGATGTGGTAATTAATGAGCACCAACATTTAACAACTAGCTTAGTTAATAAAATGACACTCAATACAATTTGTAATACAGTACCTACAACCTTAAGCCGTATTATCTTGTTGCGAATTATTCAATTTTGTAAGTTTTAGCAAATCAATCACCAAGAATCGTGCAGGTGAAGAATTAAGGTAGAAGACATAAGCAAATGAGCTATCTAAGCAGAGGGACCATTGGAAAGATCCTAGTATGCATCCCGTTGGAGCTCAATGAATTTTATTAGGCAATTCAAAGATTTTATAGGATATGGTTGTAATACCAACTCTGGTTTCGAATCCTAAAGATGAATTATTGGGAGACCAAGAACCATGGATCTGCAGAAAGAAAGTTGGAAAAGCAAGGCTCTAACTGGGCTGGAGGAAAAGAACTGGGTACCATAGGAACTGTTGGACTGAACTCCCCAAGGCTGGATAATAAAGAGAACAAAACATCGTTTAGTTGAATTGTAGAAGGATAGTTTGGTAAGGCGAGGGCTCGAGTGAAGGAGCTGTCCAAGCACTTATACCATTTGTGGGTTGTAACTGAATGTAGTGAACTTACCAAGGGTTTGGTCTGGGCCAGGACGAGGCTTGGCCGTTGAGTAACCTCAGCTTGTCATACACAGAGTCAGTTGAAGGTGAGACAGCGCAGGAGACTTGAACCTCCTTCTGGGCAGCCAGGTTCCTCAGCACCCTGTTGATGGAAGACACCTGTAAATGGAAAGCGAAAATGTAATTATAAATCATTAACTAAAATCATTAACTATACAAAGTGGAGTTCCGAGCCTTGCAAGTTAGTCTAGCAAATATATATTTTGTTGTTTCTGAGCAGTATTCATTTTACTATGTAAAAAGTAGAAACATTCTACCAACCCCCCTGAAGAGCCGAAGAAATTATTTTTTATTTCATGATTAATAGGTGTTAACTAAAACGTACGTAGAATTGGGCCACAATCCACATACTGCTTTTCAAGATCAAGTATTTAGCGAGTTAGAACAAATATATTTGGATAAGGGTTTCATTGTAATTGAAGCTTAAAGAATCTGTAAAAAAATAAACAGTTCTCTAGAACAGAAGAATAACACGGGAATTTTAAATGTACGGTTCTTTTAACTCTATCCATAACGTTTGACTGTACAAACAAGTACAAATTTACAAAGTTATTTGTTTTTAAAGCTCTACACGATGGTTGTAATGAAAATTGAGAGTTTTAAGGGTAAACATTTAAAACCCCCAATTTAGATGGACCAATATAAATGAAACCAATCATTTTTTGAAGCTATCGTGTAGCTTGTATTACGGTTCTAGGTTTAAAATTTAAAAAGAATGTATATAGTAATGTTTAGTTCCCAACATGAGAAATGAAACATGCTGTACGACGATCCATGCGTCACAAACGAACCGTATTTTCTGTACAAAAATCAGTTACCACTCGAACACCCCTGTTTGCCAAACCCTCTAAACTGACCTAATAAAACAACAACCAGGCCTAGGAAAGTCAGTTATACCTGCGATCAAAAGGGTCGATTTCACAATAAAATAATAAATGCCGGCCAAGTGGCGAGGGCCCACTTGTAGTCGAGTTGGAGCCGTATTTTGTTCGACAGATGTCAATAGTGCTCCTTTATGCCGTTCGCATTGTTCCGTACTTTTGTCTGATCTCGACTCTGCTGCGCTTTTTTACCCGCTTTTTGTTTTGCTTTCTTTAATCTCGCGCGGAAAATATCATTTTCATTGCATTTTGTAATTACTCGCTCCTTTCCCCCGTCGAGACGCCTCCCGCGTCGCCGCTCTCTTGTTTTTAAAAATATTAGCATTTTTCACCCCCTCGGCAGCGCCGTATGTTCTCTGATTCTGGCTGTTCTGGCCCACCAACGCGGCCGATCACTGCGTACTTAGGGGGCGTAATGGGCAATCTGTCATTTAAACTCGTTTAATCTAAGAACTGTTGTCTGTTTCTAATTGCGAGCTAATGATAATTAAAAATATAGAAGTAACGTGTTTAGCTGGGGGAGAAGTTCCTTTAGAGAGGAGGTTTGGATATAACTAAGGTTTTAATATATTTTTTATGTCAATACTTTAGTAGTTCTATGTCTGTTATAAGGAACGGTATATTCCATGATCTTGTTACTATGACTATTACGACTCGAGAGTTGACGATCTCAATCTCAGTCGCTCCAGATAATGCTGTGTATTTTTAAAAGAGAATTTATCCCAGGAAATATATATCAAAGCTTATAGTCAACATGTTAAAAAATATTAAAAATATTGATAATACTGGTCTATAACCTGTTTTATACGTTATCTGATGCTAGTATTTCAGTAGAGTTGGTAATATTGTTTACAAGTTGACGTGCGAAAATAGATAAATTAGAATGATCACTTTGCATGTACTCAAATTATTATTCTATGAATGTATTTAGCAACAGGACATAATGTGATACAGATTATGTATCACCATGACCATGAGGGTCAATTTAAACTGCGTTTGAAATAAGGAAAATGAAATAAAAAATGTATTATTTTTAAATAAAAATAATCATGCATTTAAATAGCTATAAAATATAGAGGTATTCAAACTTCCCAACCCCACTCAGCCATTCATTTTTAGCCTATACCAATCCGCCCATACGATAAAATCTAACTGTTGACAATTGTCGGATGAATTAGCATTCGAACAAATTATAACCCCGAGGCCACTGAAAACAAATCCAAAGGCAAACAATGTTTTGAGATTGACGGCCGCGGCGCTATCAGGGGATTTATCAAGGACACAGAGGGGTCTTATTGCGGGGGGAGGGGGGTAACCAACTAAAGTGACCTCGTTTGCTGGATTGACCGCCCCACACCTACCCTACATGTATGACCACACACACCGACTACACTCTGGGGCCAACTTGGAAATTGTCTCAAATCTTCTAACACGCTTTTTTACAGTGTAAGAAATGTACAATTTGTATTATTAAAAGCCCAAAGATCAGACATATTTGCACTACAGTACTTCCGTCAATAAGCTATTGACTACTTCAAGGATCGAACCGGCGTCCTTCATTAACTATTTCTTCACAATAAAAACTCTTAGAATTCACTATGACATTACACGATGTATAGTTGATGTCTGATTAGGCTAGGTTTTACATTGTGATTTTAAAAGCATTATGGTTACCATACGAAGTAAGGTTCCTTACTTCTCTGGATGTTGCGTTACAAGCCATACAATATGTAGTAAAGTACTATATGTTTGGCGAATGCTTAGGATTGATTATTTAACGGAAAAAATCGAACTACTGGTAATTATAATAGTTTTCACTATCGAAGCATTCGCTAACGTTCGAAAAGAACCTCGATAACAAGTCTTCAATGAATATGAATAAATAAGACTTTTACTTGAAATTGTCTTCTTACTGAGGTCTGAAAGAACATTAGGTGGTATAGAGTTTTGAGTATTTGAAAATAAAATTTGTTATCGAGATTCGACCGTATGTTGGTTTCTACAATGTATTTATTTAAACATTAAGTGTTAATTTGGATGAAAAACAAATTTTAACTTGCACATAAAGAATAAGTGTCGAAAGGAGTGCGGAGAGTGGCGAGTGGTGAAGGTAGGTCTACATTATACATGAGTCGTCTGATATATACAGTACTGAGGGATTAGAGGTCTCTCACCTAGACAGACCACCAGTCACTGTGTCCACCTTTGTACAACTGAAAACCCCCTACACTTGCATGTTTCAAACAAAACTAAAAGTTTACATTTCTACAAGTGGTCTAATGATTAAACATCAAACAAACTAGTTGTTTTGCCCGTACTCCGCATCGGGTGGAGAACGCAGAGCAGATAGTGTAGTTCTTGACTGTCTTGTCCAATGCAAACTGCCGGATGATTAGGGATTTGATCTTGATAACAATCAATTACATTAATCCCCATTTCAAAAGGAAAAATACCCTACTAATAAATGGTTTTATTACCAATTGGAACACATAAGGCTCTTCCCAAACTACACGGTTCTTGTTTCACGTAACTATAGGAAGAATTCGTATACAACAACAATTACTGTGTTTTTATTTAAAATACAGTATAGAGAGCTGAAGTACATATGCAATCAATTGGAGGACATAATACACAATTAAAATGGTTTGTACACTTAAGAGTAAACTACCCCACATCATAAGCAGTAAGTTTTGGTCATAAGTTGATGAATGCTGAATGCTAAAGGTGACCTTGCAGACACGAGGTAGGGATGTAGACCCACAGAACGTTGACTAAATAATGTATGAGATACACCCTCAGCCCCAGACTGTGTGAAGTGTGGTGTTGATCAAATCATGTATTGGGCTGACACTGTAAACCACGGCCAGGACCACGTAGTACCATTGGTCAAAGGTAGTACGTAGAGTGCAAGTAACCAAGGTGGTGATGGACTTTTACACTTTTCATATGGATAAGAAAAAGGCAATGTCAACGTGATTTTACAATAAAAACCGGTAACGCTATAAGTATGTGTTTACGGGTAATACTTGTGTGTTTTGATATTTTGTTGTGTAAAAGGTCCTCTTACTAAATTTTAAACTATTAAGAAACAGTAAAGGATTTATTCACAAATGTCTTATTGTCATTTGGGTTATGGCCTCCAAACCCAAAAGTAACTCTCACACTTAGAAATGTATACCGACATATGAATGACATATGATACATTCCGGATTTTGCCACGTGATTAAACGCCTTTAGGCAGTCTAAAGTCAATGTACTGTTTAACAAAGATGTTTTTCACCACACTATGATGTTTTTGGCTGTATTACATACAGTAATTGGTGGCTGAAAGTTACGTTTTGCTGGCCATGCCAGCTGTCATCGTAATTTGGGGACCGAGCAGGTTTTTACAGCCCGGGGCCGCAAAATCAGCTGTCCGCTTACTTACTTAAAACATGAATGCTTTTTAAATACACAATCAAAATCCATAGCATTGCAATAGAATTGTGTAATTGTCACCGTTGCCTAGCAACTATTTTTTTTTTTTTTTGCTGATTCCTCAAATTATTTCCTCACATAACCTTAAAGTTGTAGTTGTGTTGACTATCAGTGTGCATTACTATAGTGGTGAATAGTGGTAATAGTGTATAGTGTGGTGAAAAATAGCGTTCGTACCACGGACCGAAATGGTTTTGCAGCTCTCGATCGATTTCAGTTCTCGACTCCGTCTCGAACTTAAAAACGATCTCGAGCCGGCAAAACCTCATCTTCGGCCCTAGGTACGAAATATACTATTTCATATCATGTGATCGTGATTTCAGCCAAGCAGTAATAATTTTACAAGAGCATCAAAACAATGCATTTATATGCAAGTCCCTAGATATTTATCTTACATTTACACATTCTCCACCTCGCATGTTTCCGATAGTATCAAGTGTGTATGAACTATGTATTATATTTAATAAGTACCACGTGTATACTTTGTATATATATATTTTCAATGGTAGGCCTACATAATATATTGTTTACTTATCAGTTTTAAATTTGTATTGAGATGTTTCGAGAGAATTGTTTATCGGAGTGAATAAAAGTACTAAAATACTGCAGGTGGTTTTAAATACTATCATTGAATATGGATGATGAAAACAACTTGTCATCCCATTGAAAAATGTAAAGATTGTTTTTTTATGTATGGCGAGCCTAAATAATGCAAATGGCAACTAAATGTTTATCTTTGTA